TTTACCAAGACACTTTCGGCTTCTTCAACTCATTTCAGTTTGGATGTTCGGCTCTCAGGATTGTTTTCAGAAAATGCCAACGTTCTAGTTTGTTTCACGCAACTTCAGACGAACCTCTGCATCGTTCTGAAAGAGAAAATGTAATTTATTAATGATAACCTCCAGAAGTCTGCAGTGTGTGTTTGACAGTCCTGCAGGTTTATTGTCAAACATGAGTGAAATTTAGCAAATTCAGGTTCAGATTTCAAACTAAGTGAATGACGGGCTGTCATCACACCCATCCATTTAACAGAGAGCAGCGCATGTCGTGAGCGTTAAACTGTAAGTGTCGTCCTCCTCCTCCCTCGGGCAGGAACAAGTGTAAACAGAGCACCCACCTAACAGGATCCAGGATGCACCGCCTCATTTGCATCGCCCATCTTAGAAACACAACACCCTTTTTTATCTTTCTCCATCGCTACTTTCTCCCTTTTTTTGATTTTACTTCCTTTTGTCGCAGCATTTTACTTCATCGCCGGCAAAAATGAGCTGCAGCAGAATTTTATTTTATTTTCCTGAGCATGGACTTTGTTGTTTTTGTTTTATTTTCTTGTGTTAAACTGAATCATTTTCTGCACAGGCGCACTTTGTGCAGCCGTGCACGCTGCTGATCTGCTGTCTTCTGCAGAAAACCCCGAGGCTTTAACTGAGCATACAAAGAAACTGTTTCACCTCTGGAGACAGATTTTAATTAGAGTTAAAACGACAGCAGGTCCAACTAACGCTCAGTAGAACCCGTTTTCATTGTAGTTTGATTTAATCAGACGCATCTTTCTGCTGTGGCCAAACGTCACCGTCATTCAGTCAGGTGGGATAATTTTAAAGATATAAAAGTTGTGTCAAACTCACTTCACTTACAAAAGAGGGTTAATTTAATTCAAATTAAACCCTTTTTCAAACGAAGGGCCAGTTTCAGAATTTAACCCGACACCTTTTCTTGGTTGCAGGTTCCTGAACAAAAGTTTGATTTGTCTCATTTGACGTTCTCTGTTGCACTTTTCAAATTCAAATTCAACTTTATTGTCAAAACTGCAATATGTACAGGACGTACACAGGATTGAAATTACATCACTCTCAGACCCCTGGTGCAAAAATAACCATTTAACATTAAAACATTTAATAAACATTAGCATAAAATGAAATAATAAAAGTGTTATACCTGGCCTAAATTCTAGTATAGCGGTATAAAAATATATATTTTTAAAAGTATGTCTATAAAATAAAATTAAATGAAAGTCCTGACATCGACATTTGTAGTAAAGTAAAGTGGCAAAGCAGCATATGAAGTGAATGTACACAGTATATGTATGACGTCTTTGATATTGGTATAGGTAAAGTGACATATGCAATAAGGCTAGTAAAATATATATATATATATATAAACAGTAGTATGAATTTATTTATAAATAAGAAATTTTTTCGCTGGAAAAAATTAAAGCGATAAAGGTATTTTGTGTTTGAAATATCATCTTGGGGGCCAGATAAGATGCCAACGAGGGCCACATTTGGCCCCCGGGCCTTGAGTTTGACACGTGAGGAACTGAAAAGCGTTCATCCTCCTGGGAACGTGTCTGAAAACGTCTTTGCCGCCTTTGAGTGTTGCTCTTCTTTCTAACCTTCACATGTTCAGAGCGGGGGTCAGCTCTGGGTTACAGATTACAGCAGGAAGGTTTGAAATGTGAGCGGCACGTTCAAACTGCAGGACCCTCTGCGCTCCGAGCCTCCATCCACAGTCATCCAGAGTAAATATTCTAATCTCTGGCCCCTCCTGAGAGGCCTGAACTGAATGTGACCCCTGACGGTGCGGGCCCCCGGTTACAGAGGGGACGTGTCTGAGGGACGTTTCAGCTCAGGTGAGTCACACCTGAGGTAAGGTGTGGAGCTCTGGAGGCCGTGTCAAACTGTTCTTTTCTATCTTATCAAAGCAGCTTCTGCAGTGTGCACAGAAGGTGACGGACTGCTCCGTTTCAGGCGTTTGACTTTTAAAAAGAAATGTTCTTTCAGAACAGACCACAACGCTTGAGATTATGACTGCTGAGCTAGACGAGAAACAAAACACGTGAGGCAGGGTTAGACAGGCAGACAGACAGACAGACAGGAGGCATGGCGACAGGGTTAGACAGACAGACGGCAGGGTTAGACAGACAGACAGACAGGCAGACAGACAGACAGACAGGAGGCAGGGTTAGACAGGCAGACAGACAGACAGGAGACAGGGTTAGACAGGCAGACAGACAGACGGCAGGGTTAGACAGACAGACAGACAGGCAGGCAG